GAGGCTTGAAGTGTTCTTCAGCGTTGCTCCTTCCTCTTTACAGAACTGACAGCAGCATGAAAATAAGCATTTCCCTTCCCCCAACTGCACACAAGATATTCCACTGAATAAGAAGTGTCATTTCTGCACATTAATCTCCTTTAAGTTCAAGTGATGAGAAGACAATAAACTTAAACTCTCTTTAGCATTTTCCTGGAATCTTGAGAAGCTCTTGCAAATAGTGGAAACGTGTATAGAGAGTATATAATATAAGGTCTTAATGAAGCTTTATCCTATTAAAAATAAGATTTCTATAATGAGGGGAAGGCAATTTGAGAATAGAGGTCTAGGAAGGATAGCACCATTTAGAGTAGGACGTCGGCTCCGTATTAGGGAGCGTGCAGACCACAAGAAGATCACCATCTGCAGTCAGAGGTTTCGAACTACGTTCGAATGGTCTTTATTTTTAACAACTTTTTTTTTAGTTTGTGATCAATAGATTCTCCACTTCATTTAACTTGTAAGAGAGATAAGCCACAATGAAATGATCTGGATCTTAATTTTTCATGCTGAGGAACAGGGCATTTTGCTAATTCCATAATCATATCAACAAACAAACTAGTTTATTCAATTTGTTAGAAAATTTGGAATCGCACTTGAGCAGCTGGCTGTCTTTGCTTGCCAAGTTAATTGTAATGAATGATCTAATTTCTTAAGTAAATGGGTTTGAAAAAAATCTTGGATTAAATAGGTTTGTAACTAAGAAGCAGAATTATTAGGTTACCCCGTTACCAGTACATGAGAAATCCCATTTTGGGGCCCGGGGCTGTATTAACAAACATCACTTGATAATGTGACCTTCTTCGGTCATTGGTCAGCTCCCAAAATTAGCTGGATGAAGCAATTGGAGTATAACATAGCAGTTTGCATTTGAGGGCCAATGCTACATTTGATAGGTCAACATGGGACTGGATTTTTGGTTCCTATTTTTAAAGGATTGGAAGGTTAGGCATGTCCTGGTACTTTAGGTCCTGAATGCCTGGCTCATCTACTTGTGATCATATTCAGTTGTCTCCATGAATAATGAAAGCCCAATGGCCTGTCTTTCTGGAACAGTCTGTGGTACTAAGACGTGGCCCTAGTATGTACTACCTTCAGATCTCAACTTTTGAAGGACCTGGCCCACTTATAAGCAAAACAGAAAAAGATATCAAAAGGGCTACTTTTAATAATGATGTTATGAACAAGACTATCTGATGTCAATAATGACCAGAGTCTAAGACCCTCCTTTTTGAACCAAATTGACAAACAGTTTCAAATCCGCCTGCCCCACTGCCTTGCGCCGGCATGCGCTGCTCCCAGACAGTCTCTGCAGGCACGAGTCCTTCTACTGAGTTCCAGGTTTGGGGATATAAACCTTTCCCAGGCCTGCACCCCCTGTAGGCGGTCTGCAGTGTGCTTTCTGACTCATGGCCTCTCTGCCTTCCAGACAGCAGCAACTCCTTTCAGAATTCTCAGGGTGTATGAAAATGGAGGCTGAACATTTCTTTCCTGTTCTGGCCTATAACTAGTTCTTTGAGATGAGAATAAATCACTAACAATGAAACTATTCCATCAGGAGACTTATCTTCTAAAAACTGCTCTCTGGGGAAAGATGGCAGTGTTAATAGATGATCAGATAGATGATCAAATAAATGTCTTCCTCACAGCCACTGAAAATCCCCCAAAGAAGCAATAACAGAGCAGAAAATTATAACAGTGCTGAAGCTAACAAAGTTCTGAACAGCAGATGATAAATCACAGGGGATATTCCAGAGGAAGCACAATTTGAACTAAATGAAAGAGACTCCAGGAGTCAACCTGCAACTGAACTGCTTGGCGCATTGCTGTGTGGTGGATGGCACATCGGGGTGATACTGAAGTCCTAGCTAATTCCTTGCAGTTTAGGGGGGCAAGGGCTATCTGCATGGATTGGTTTTGGCAAAGACAGGAAATTCCCTTAAGTTTTCTTCATGAAAGATTGCCAAGAGTGGCAGAGTTGGAGGGTAAATTTTTTCCCCAGTTTTATTGAGGTATAATTGAGAAATAAAATTGTAATATGTTTAAAGTGCAAAATGTGATGATTTGATATATATATATACATACACATGTTATAGGATTTGGAGGGTGAATTTGTCCACCAAACAAACAGTGTTGGAAGTAAAAAGCGCTCCTCAGCCAAGAAAAGCCAATTTTTTTTCCCTCTTTTAAACCAAGGGAAGTTGGTTTAAAACCACCAGGGCTCCTTCCACCTTGAGGGATCGTGGGCAAAATGTACAAACTTCTCATTATAAGAGAAATAAACTGGGGATGTAATTTACAATGTGATGACTCTAGATAACACCGCTGTATAGTGTATTTGAAAGCTGCTAGGAGAATAGATCCTAAGAGTTCTCATCACTAGGAAAAAACCTTTTTTTCCCCCTTTCTTTATTTTGGTATCTATCTGAGATGACGGATGTTAACTAAACTTATTGTGGTAATCAATTCACAATATATGTAAGACACTAAGTCAGTATGCTGTATACCCTAATCTTACACAGCGCTGTAGGTCAGTTATATCTCAATAAAACTGGAAAAAATTTAAAAAATAAAAAATAAACCAAGGGAGCTGTCAGAAAGAAGCGCCCAAAGACACACGTGTGCGCGCACACACACACACATACACTAAAACTATAAAACCATGGATTTAATAATATTTACACAATATGCAGGCACCCTACTAAGAGCTTCATATGCATTCACTCATTTAATTGTCCTCGCATCCTATGAGGGAAATTCTTGTGCTACCTCTATATTATAAATGGGGAATGGAGACATTAAGAAGTGAGATAACTTGTTCAAGGTCATAAAGTTACTAAGAGCTGGGGCCAGAATTCCAACCAGATTCAGGAATCTGTTCCCTTAACCACTGCACTATTCTTTGCACCACATGGCACTTTGAAGAGATCATTTAGAGAGTCTAACAAATCTGACCAAGAAAAGAGAGAAGATATAATACTAAAAATGGCAAGTTAGCTCATTCACTCCTTAATATATTTATTGCGTGTCTACTATGTGCCATGCTGGGCACTTGGGGTTTCAGTAGTAGAGACAAGGGACAAATTCCCCTCCCTCATGAGTCTTACATTCTAGTTGGAGAAGCAGAAAATAAGCAAATGAACAAACATATATTTCAGGTAAATTTGTGCCTTAAATAAAGCAGAGCAAGGGGGTTGGAGGGGAGGCTATTTTATTTTTTTAATAACTGAAAATGTGCATTTTGTTTATTGAAATATAGTTGACATATAACATATTGAGCATTTCTGTTTTTATATTTGATTTTTTAGAAATCATCTTTTTATTTTGCCTTTTGTTGAGGTCACATTGAGTTATAACATTACATAAATTTCAAGTGTCCATCATTATATTTCAATTTCTGTGTAGACTATATCATGTTCACCACCCAAAAACTAATTACACTCCATCACCACACACGTGTACCCTGTCACCTCTTTCACCCTCCTCACTCCCCGCTTCCCCTCTGGTAACCACCAATCCAGTCTCTGTCTCTGTGTGTTTGGCTCTTCCAAATTGGATTCTCAGCTATGGGTCTCTGAGGAGACGAAAAATGCAGCTATGGGGAGAGCCAAGCAAAAATCTTGGGAAGTGTGTTCCAGACAATAGGAATAGGAATGCTGAGGTGGGCATAACCTTGGTGTTTTCAAAAAATGACAAGAAATACAGTGAGGCTGAAGCAAAGAGGCAAGAGCAGTAACCTCAGAAAATGACTTCAGAGGGGTAGCTTTGTCTATACTACTCCAAAAAAATATTCTAAGTCTGACCTCAGCGCGCACCCTATTACAGGAATATAGCCACTCTTGTAAACAACCCAAGCTAATTGCTCTGGGGCACTAGGAAACATCTGAAAATACACATATGAGTGATTATGGATATTATAGTTCCTGTGTGCTGTGCCTGAAATGCATTTTTAAACATTAACATGATTCTAAGATGCATTTATTTGGACTCAAATATCAGTTGATGATGCTCTAACTGGTCCTTTGTAAGTGAGTTCAGAAAGCATATTCCAACAGCCACCATGCTGGTGTAATAGTTTAATTTTCCAGAAGGACCCCAAAGTCCTATTTAGCACCTCTGTACTTAATTATCGTACTAATAACCATACATAACTGGGATGACAGCATTATTTCCGTGAGGAAATTAATTCTGGGTTCAACTCAGTGGGGTCAACTCATATCTCCTCACTCTCCAGTTCCCATACAGCCCACTCTGGTTCTGCTGCTTTATGGGGTCTCAGCAGTACTAGCAGCGAGCTTTCTAGGGTTCTTGTGGCATTGGAGGGAGCCCTGGGCAGTTAAAGAGGGTTCTGGTGATCCAAGCGGTAGTAGGGAGTCACACACAAGTCCCCAGAAGCATCAGGCGGGGACAGAGATCCCACTTGTCCTCAGCAGTGGAAGGAAATGGAAAGTAAAAGTGATGAGAAGACAAGCAGCCAAGAGACTAGAATCTCCAGCGATTCCAGCAGAGGGGAGACATTCAGTCTGCAGCGCTGTGTTGCCGACGCCAGGGGGCACCATTGTCACTGGAGGGGTTCTTCTCCCGCAGAATTCACTGTCCTCAGAATTGTATGATGTGGGGGCCCTATTTTCAAGGGGAAATCCAATGAGGTGAACTCCTGAAAGAGACATCTATGTCCAGGTAAGAGATGTTTATATGTCAGGCATTTGTAAGTTGGAAACTGCCTTACAGACTTTTACTTATGTATTACAAAGGTCTCCATATGTTAAAAAATAAATATTTAATAAACCTGGAGATAGAGTAGGATTATTTGGCTTTGTGGGGTCTTTTTCCTTCCTCTCCCCAAAGTCCCCCAGTACGTAGTTGTATATCCCTGTTGTAGGTCCTTCTACTCTGCTATGTGGGATGCTGTCTCAGCGTGGCTTGATGTGTGGTGCTAGGTCGGTGCCCAGGATCCAAACGGTGAAACCCAGGGCTGCTGAAGCAGAGTGCACGAACTTAACCTCTCAGCCACAGGGGCCAGCCCCTGTGTTTTTTTCATAGACCAATTTGCGTTAGCTTAAGTGATAGTTTCTCTCCAGAAGTGCATTTTGGACGCATCTTTCTGGTTGCTTTGTAGATGAATGCAAAGAAAGGTACTGCTGGAGACAGGAAGAATAATTAGTAAGTGATGAAACAGTCTAGGTAAGAGATGTTCAGGCTAAATCTAGGACAGGAGAATTTGACAATGCTTAGGTAGTAAAACTGGACAGACTTGAGAAATTTGATATGAAGGCAGGGAGGGAGAATAGCATAGGATGCTGCCTGGCTCCTGGTTGACTAAGCAGGTGATAGTGAACACTGATGAACAAACAGTTTTGGGGGAACGATGGTGAATTCTCTTTTAGACATGTTGAGTTTGATGCACCCAGGGAATATCCATATGGAAAGATCCAGCAAGCCTGGAGATCAGTGGGGAGTCCAGAGTTGGAGAGAGTGATCCAGGTGGGCATACTGGTGACAAGCCAGGAGAATGCAAGGAACTGGCGTTAAGAGTTTATAGAGGACACAATGTCTAGGACAGAACCTTGAGGATCAGCAGCATTTAATGGTCAGATAGAGAAGTAGTGTTAAGAGGTTATGTTCTGGAAAATTGAAGTCTGTGTCTTTTACTGGATTTACAAAGCACCTAAATCTATTTGCTCCTGGCTACTTAATACTGTTCAAGGATGATTGTTAAGAGCACTCACAATGCACATGAAATAGGTTGCTTCTTCCTCCTTTAAACCCTTATAGAAATATGTCTTTATGCAATAATTTGCAAAGAATATAACATCAGTTAAAACAGGATTAAATAAACAGACTTTCGTAACCTTTTACAGGAGACTTTTAAAAGTTATGAATATTGGCATTGACTTAAAAGATTTTGTTATGAAACAATAAACTATTTCTGACAATTTCAAATTGTTTTAGTTAACCCTGTTAATATTGATAAACTTTTCATGTTTTTGAAATTGTCAATGAGTATGTCATCATTCTCTGATCAGAAAACACATCTTAGTTTTTTAATAAAAAAGTAGTTGGAAGCAAAAATGAAAAATATTCACAATGACTGTGTGACGGTTGAATATGTGTTTGTTGTATTGTTAAATTATAATATCTATTTAAATTTCAAAAAATTAAAGTTAAAAAATTGTTTATTTTCCATATTATTCAGCTGCAGCCAGCAGTGAGAAAATGTGATTACAAAGTCCTTTCTGTACATTTCGAATGTGCCAGGATTTAAAATCCATCACCACAATTTATTATGTAATTCATTTATATGTCAAAGACTATATTCATAAATACAAATAAAAAATCATTCTATAATTTTATTTTCTAGTTTTATATTTTTGACCAAAATTCAGTAATAAAGAACTATCAGTATTTCATTAGTGACTGAAGACCAATTCTGTTTTAACATGTGTGATTCTGTTTCTGAGAGATCTCAGTAGAGCTGTGGTTCATTCAAGTTCTGATTCTCCCCACAGGCACAGCCGTCGACTGCCAACATCACAGGAACCAGCTGAAAGGAAGGCATGTAGTCAGAGGAAAACCATCCTGTGAGTGGCCATTTCAGGCCTGTGCCCCTAGACTATTTGGAAGGGGGCTGATGAGGGGACCACAGGAACGGTCACGGCAAGTTCTCAGAGCAGCCTCTAGAGGGCAGAGAAATCACAAGCCTGTGAGCAACTGTGCGCCAACAGCTACCCGGGATTCTGCAGCCTTTCCTTAAAAATGTTATGTGCTGTGCCCTTTCATTTCATCTCAAAGTGACTTGTTTTCATGATACATGGTACCAAATTTCAAAGTTCTTTATATATCTTTATATATATCTCTATATATTCTTTATATATCCTTCCAGAGACAGTGTGTGTGTGTGTGTGTGTGTGTGTGAGTGTGTGTGTGTATTACCCTGCCTCCTCTCTCCTTTTATACAAATGGTAGCATCCATACCCCCCTTCTTTTTTTTTTATTGTGGTAACATTGGTTTATTCCATACATCCTATTCTGTATCTTGCTTCTTTCACTTAATATTATCTTAGATAAAATTCAGTGTAAGAATAGAGGGAGCCTTCTATTTTCTTCTTGTTTATGGCTGCAATTATTCTAAATATGAGTGTGCCATAAGTTTTCAACTGATATTTCAGTAAAGGGCATTTCGTTGTATCTGCAGTACTACAGAATCTTATGCATGCATAATTTCACTTACGCATTGAGTACAACTGTAGGTTAAAAACAGGGAATTGCCTCCTGAAGCTGTGGGGAGCTGGCACATCTGAAATCCCTAAGGCAGGCTGGCAGGCTGGCAACTCAGGCAAGAGTCGATGTTGCAGTCTCGGGTCTGAAATTTGTAGAGCAGGCTGGTAGGTTATGAACTCAGGAAGGATTTTGTTTTTTAATTTCTGTGGCTAATTCATTCATGCATTCACTTTTAATTCAGTCAAAAAGTATTCAATATGTTCCAGGCTCTATGCTAAGCACAGGGTACATAATGTGAGTAAACATTTGGGTGTTTTGGACTCAGGTCCCATTCTTAAGGTGCTTTCACAGACTTTTGATAAATCTGTCACATTTATGTCAGTTGTTCTATTTTCCCTGCCTGAACCAAGGAGACACTTACTTCCTCTCTCCTCATCCTCCCTTATTGACCCCAAATTATTTCCCACTGCCCTGCTCATGCCTGCAATACTGTTTTGACTGGCTTAGACATGTGACACTCCCCAACCCCGCAGCTTTCATAGACAGGCAGAGCTGCTGGTTGCTCAGGCGCTCTGCATTCAGGAACACAGTCTCCAAGAAACGAGCCCTGGTTGCTGTAAGCCCCATCCCCCTTCTCTGAATCTATCTGATCCCCAGGGGTCGAGCCCCACAGACTTCTGCCAGTGATCCCTGTGAAGCAAGACCCAAGGGGGCCTCCCGGGAAGTATCCCATGATGCTGGGGAAGCTGGATGTCCACCTTAGGCTCTTGCGCTCTTTTTCCCACTGGAGAAACCATAGACAGAGGGAGTTCCTCTCAGTGTGGTGCTGTGCTGGCCTAGCGGAGGGGCAATGCGGTCAAAGTGAAAATGCCCCTCTTATCCTTCTGACGCGGTGCTACTTGGTCTCTGTGCTCCACGGTGGTGGTTTAGCTCACCCCCTGGGTTTTGGGCTTGTCATAATGGTGTCTCAACTATGGATAGTTGCTAGCTTGTCTTCTTGTGAGGGAGACTGAAGTCAGGAATGGGCTATGTTGCCATCTTGATGACATCATTCTCCAGGAAGGATTTCTATAGTATAGTCTTGAAGCAGAATTCCTTTTACTTAGGGAAACCTCAGTTTTTGTTCTTAAGGTCTTCAACTGGTTGGATGAGCTCCCCCCACATCATCAAGCATAATTTCCTTTACTTAAAGTCAACTGACTGTAGATGTTAACCACAGCTACAAAATACCTTCACTGCAACATCTAGACTAGTGTTTGACTAGACAAGGGGCACCATAGCCTAGCTAAATTGACACATAAATTTAACTGTTGTATCAAGTTACTCTCCCCAGAGGCTGTACTGATTCACTCTCTTACCTAGAATGTTTGAGAGTATCAAGCCCAAGGTAGCATTAGAGGATATTCATCAAAGCATTTTGAAAGAGGTTCTGGTTTGCTTCTGTAAACCGCCTTGTACTATTATGCTAGTAAATAGGAATACTTCCACTTTAGTTCTCTCTTAGGATGTGCAAGAGACTGTACTTAATTTTTCTGGTGAAGATGGGAAAAATGATATTAAACTGGATTTTTCTGGTCTCCTTTAAATTTTAAATTGCCTCTGTAAACAATGTCTTTTCCAAAGAAATCTCTCTCCCCCTCAGGACACTGCTTCCTCTGCAGGCTTCTCAAGGAGAGTGCTATCTTCTTTGCTCTCGTTTGCTTCTTCCAGATCATTATACCTCCTCCCTAAAACGCCCACTCTTGAATCTCATGTCCCCAGACTTTTCAACCACTTATTTTCATTATTGGTGTTCACTACCAACCCCCAGATCACAGTCCCTCATTTCTCTGTTTTTTAGTTCCTGGAACACTGTTAGTCCCTTCAACTCTATTTCTGTCCTAATGATTGGCTATATTAATAGCTACATAGGTGAAGCTTTCACATTCTGTTCTGGTTGAACTGGATTTTTAAGGATGAGTAAGGATCTAGGCAAACAAGGTGGGAAAGGGCATTTTGCTAGATATAGGAACTTCTATAAAAGCAAGAATGTGAGATTAAGGTTTTGTGCATAGGGAACTACAGAGTGAGGTTCAAGTTAAGTAGGGGCAAGACCACAGCCAACCATAATTATCATAATTTAGCTAGACTCTACTGAGTAGATGATGAGAGTCACACAAAATTGAAATGTAGGCGTAACAGGCTAAAATTTGTGTTTATAAAGATACCTCTGATTGTAATGTAGAAGATGGATTGGAGAGAATTGTTGCCAAGGATTCTACCAGGCTAAAACAGTTTATCTCTTGGTGGCATATTATTTCTCAGACTGTATATTTATTCATTGTGCCACATCCTGGATTTGAGAGGCCAAGATAAATATTTCCTGACTGGCATTGTCACCCACATCACTGGACTCGAGTTATGCTCAGTGGTTAAACATCTCCAGGGTACCCAAAAGAAGTTAGATGGTTGGGGTATAGTTGCCCTGTGAGTCCTCTCCTTTAAACTGAGTAGGACGAGGAGAGGTTTCACTTTAATTTCTCTGAAGATGGATAGGGGTAGAAAAATACAATGTAGGGGATAAGTGCGTAGTTTTGGAGCCAGAAAACCTGGGTTTGAGCCTGAGGTCTGTTTCCTATTGGTTGTGTGATTGAGCCAGTTAGTCTCCCATATGCTTTTCTCCTCCAATAAAATGTAAAAATGGGAATAAAAATAATACTTTTGCCACAAGGTTATCATCCAAAGTACACTTGGAGCAGTGCCTAGCATATACTAAATCTTAATAAATGTTGGCTATTGTTACAGCTGTTTATATTACTTTGTAGCAAGGCTAACTCTTTGGGGAGAATCTTTTGTTTAGTGTTTCGAACTCCCACATGTAAAGCATGAGTGAAGAAATTAGTTTAGTAGGTTGCTACAAGAATGAAATAAAGAAGAGGTAGAATATAAAGTTGCAATAAAATAATAAACCACATTTATATTAGCTTTGTTGCTTTTTAACTTTATCATATGGAATAAAGATATTACCTGATAAAATGTTTCACTTATATGGTATGTTTGTATGTGTGTATGTGTACTGGATCATCATGTAAAATGCATTTTTAGTCTAGGTCACAATAAGAAAAATTTTAAAACACTGTTTCAAAAGAAGCAGTGAGGCTAAACACCCTGAGGCACTATCAAAACATGAGACTCCCAAAAGTTGCAACTTGTTCCATCTTAGGAGGAAGAGGAAAATTCCTGACCCCTAAGCCTCTGCCGTTCCTGTAGGACTTTCCAGGGATCCATGGTTGATGAGCAGAATGTAAAGGGGAGACCTTTTACTTACTTTACTGTCTGCCCTCTGGGCATGCCCGAAGTCCCAACACTTGACTGAGGTCCTAATGATACCATTAAACAAAACAAAGCAAAAACAAAAGAAAAAAGCCCTATATTAGAACTCCTTCAATCTAGCCAACATTTGGGAGGGTGTACAAATAGATGGGAAGTAGCTGCTGTGAAGGGGCACCAGGATCCCTAGTATGTCATTTCCACCATGCCTATCTATTAAGACCATTACCATGTGGTTGCATGGGGCAGGTAGAAATTCTGTAAATAGCAGATGAGTTTCCCTCAAAAATCCTCCTGTGGGTCAAAAATGCATGGAGGAGGCTAAGGAGAAAATTTTCATTCTTCCCTCTGTCACTTTGACCCTTTCTGCTACTGCATGCCCCAATTTTTTTTTTTTTTTTTTAACTTGGCCATGTAAAGACAGAAAAAAAGATATGGGGGAAGAGTATAAAAAAAAAGAATTTAAATAAATGTCTAATAGATAATATGGAAATAAATGAAATTTAAAAATAGATTTAAAAAGACCTGAAAGCCTAATACACAAAAAACAAAAAGGTGGAACTAGAAAGATAAGTTTTAAGATGAAAGTACAACCTATGAGATCCTAAACATAAAACAGTAAGGCAACCAAAGTTACGAATTAATAGGACAAAAAGGAAAGAAATTCAGGGCAAGAATTTTGGGTGGTGAGATTTTATGATTCTTTTTCTTTGTTAAAGCTTTTTCTAGAGTTGTGTTATTATTTTCAAATTGTTTAAAAACAAAAGCCTTAATTGTGTCTGTGTATGTGTGTGTGTGTGCGTGTATAAAACAACAGATAGACATGGGGGATAAGTGCTCCCCCATGGCTAAAATTTCTGGCTAAAATCAGAGTTGCTCCTTCCAACAAAGCCCAGACACAAGTGGGTGGCTCACTCTGGTTCAGTTCCTGAGGAAACCCTGAAAAGGGGCAACACATTTACATACAACCGCTCAGACATGCAAGCAAATGTAGGCTTCTCGAATATTCCATCACTGACCTAATCCTAGTTGTGAGGACTCTATGCCATGGGTAGTGAAGGAGGGCAGAGGGACACATATCTGCCAATTCACATTATTTCAGTCCTTTTCAATTCACATAGTCTCTTTCAAGTAAATACTCCATGATGAAATTTCTTCCTTCTCCCCTTTCACTTCTCCAAGATGGTGTCTGCATTCATTTGAGCTTGGGGGAGGCTTCAAGGGGCCACGAGGAATTGAGGGATTTCATATTCACATAGTAGGGGAACAGTCCTTCTGAGCCCTCCCTGGTTCCTGCTCTGAGGTTTGGCATCCTCTGAAGTGTTACTGACTGGTCATCCTGGGGGTGTTGGATATTGTGATGGCACTCATACCCAAAGTCCCACCATTTGCCCACAGTTTTGAAATCCTTGACATCTCCTCATCCCAGGCCTTAGGGAGTCCACTGGTCATCTCAGCACCTCTTTGCTCCTTCTCAGGGCACACATCACTGTCTGGATCCCCTACACACTCCGCTCAGGCCCGGGGGACCAGGGGAGGCATTTCACCTACCTGTTTTCTTCTAGCACATACAACATGACCTGTCCTTGGAGGCTCTCAGCTCCCCCACTTTATAAATGGTGAAGGAAGCAACTAATTCCAAGGTTCCCTCGTAGCTGTTTAGATTTCTTCCTCTCTGGGATTTGGTCTGGAGCAGGTTGCCAGAACAGGTATATCTTCTTGCTCCTCCTTTCTCTTCTCTCCTTCTCACCTTCTCTGGGAATGAGAAGAGTAGGCTTTACCCTTCACGAGTGGCAGGGATCTCCCTTATAGAGAGCCTTGCTTCTTCTAGTC